GTTGATTGGTCAATTGGTTGTTATGGCCCATAGGCCCTCCCAGGGTGGTTGCTATGCTCTGCATGTCATTGCTGTGCACTTGTCCATAAAGCACACCCAGGGTCGTAAAGCATAGCGCCACCAGCTAACTTCCGATTGGTTCCTTGTCACAAGACAGGCATCTGACCTCTAAGTGACTAAGGTTCCTTGTCACGAGACAGGCATCTGACCTCTACGTGACCAAGGCAGGTTTATGGCAAGCACGTGTTCGGCTGTTATGGCTGCCAAAAGGAAGCTGGTTCCTTCAGTACAGTCCTGGGCTTGTTGCTCTTAATCTTTGAAACAATGGGTGGAGATCATAATTACAACCATGGATTTTCAAAAGGATCGGAGAAGGTAAAGCGTGAGAATTACGTATGTATTTCATTTAATAATCCTCTGACCTCTGTCAGAGCATCCTGAGACTAATGGATAAAAACCCATTGGCGTCTAGTCACTGAGCCACCCACTGGGCTCCAACTAAAAGCACAGGTAACATCTTGGGCATACAGAAAAGCTGCCCCCAAATCGCTTCTGCCTCTCTGCTGTACCCACCAATGTATTTTAAACTTGCCTTAAATTTTTGACTTTCTTTGTTCTGTAGAATGGTAAGACTTCATGAAACTGCTTCCACATTGGAAAATGGAATTGGAGGTGACCTACATCTTGTATTCCCAGGCTATGGCCACTCTTAAGTGGCTCTAGGATAAACAGTTTTCCTTTAAGGAGAGAGCTGTGCTTTTGCATGGACAATACAAAGGTTGGGCAAGGCCCTAGAAAGAATGCTAATGGAAAATGACTGAGTCATATGCCAGGCTATTAAATTTCAGGCATTCTTATCCATTGCTGTACTACAACTACTGAGTTTTGGGTTTTTTTTTAAATATAGACCTATGAGTAGGTTCTGTTACTGGAGATGTAGCCATATAGTATTCTCACATGTACTACCATTAAATCTTAAAACCCAAAGCTGCCAGCATTTTAAAGATATAGAAAATTGGGCAAAAAAAATCATTTAAGGTTACTAAAGTAACCATAAAGTGAACTCTAAATTCAGTATCCTAATGCTATTATTATACACTTAGCTAATTGGACTTCAGTTTACCACTAGGTCAGACAAAGATACAGCTGTAAAGAAAAATACTGTATCCTTTGCCTTGTAGATTGTGAAAATGAGGGCCATTACCTGAGGATTAATCAGATTGCCCTGTAGATTGATTATCTGCTGTTAGTGGGTTAGAAAATCCCTGGGTTTAAATGATATTGAGTATTTACAGAAATTAAGAAAAATAAGTAAGCTGCTGATTCATCCAGAGGTAGATTATACATATGACTGGCAAGGTAAGTTCCTAGTTACTGTAATCGGACTGGTAAAACTTGAATTTATTAAGATGGAAATAGCCTGACAAAAGACAAAAAAAAAAAATCTGAAATGTTTCCAAGTTTCCAAGCCTCCTTGCCACTGAGTTGAGTTATAGCCATATTGAGGTGTTGTTTCTCTGGAGATAGTAATTAATGCAAATAGAGACATTTATATTAAATCCAATTGCAGGATCCTTCTCTTCTTCAGAATTAACTATGTTGATTTCTGATTACTCCTCATGATAGAAATGAACATAGAGTATGTTGAAGAAGGAATTTGCTATGCCCATTGGTTAAAAGTTTTATTTAAAAACCAAAAAAGTAGGAATGGCAATATGGCTTAAATAGTAAAGGCATTGGATATGCCAAGTTTGATGACTTTTAGTCTTCAGGACTCATGTGGTGGGTGGAGAGAAGAGACTCCTACATGTCCCCCACCCCACCCCCAGTGCATGTGAGCAAGCACACATACAGATATTAATAATAGTAAACAAACAACAACACTCTTGCAAAGTACTTGTGATCACTACCATGAAGGTGGAGTCTATAGCGTAAGTGTCTAGGATCTGGTGTAGTCTCTGACTGAATTCAGCAGGCCATAGAGTGCATGTGATATCTACCCTAAGGATGGGCTCTGTTGACTGAGAAACAAAGCTAAAGGTCTGGAATAGACATTCTGGGGGATTTGGGTGGGGCCTGGCCCTGCAGATAGCAAAGGTCACCAGGTTATTACAATATCCGTCCCCAGCCTTCTGGATGGAAAACAGGTATACATCTCCTCCACTGGGGAGACAACCCTATGTGATTTACATTTCTGGTTTCTCCAGTGCTTACGGTGAACCCTCTACAAGGGGGGAAAGGATGGGGAGGGGGAGAGGGAGAGAGAAGACTGGGCCTTGCTGGGCTTTGGAAACTCAAAGCCCCCCCAACACACACACACACACACACACACACACACACACACACACACACACCCCACACCATCACCAGTGACACACTTCTTCCCACAAAGCCATAATTCCTAATCCTATTCAAATAGTACCATTCCCTAGTAGCAAAATATTCAAATCTATTACCCATGGAGTCCATTCTTACTCAGATCACCACAGTACCTGTGCCAACAGTAATCTCATTGATTGGCACAACTGTTCATGTTCTGGCACCTCTTTCAATTATTTCATCATTATTATCTCATGTATTGGGGATAGTTTTCTTGGTCTGAGAGCAAGCATCATAATCATCATACTTAAACTGTAGCTTCTTACTAGGAAGCAGCTCCCATCTCTATACCCAGTTGTCAGCCCAGCACCACCCTCCTCAGCCAACCTAGTCAGATGCCTTTTCCCCAGGGTCTCTTCAATTCAGTGCATCCCATTCATTTAAACTGCAGTGATTCCCACTTCCTGTCTAAATCCTACCCATCCTTTGGGATCCAGTTTAAGTGCTTCGTAGTTTCCCTCGCTGCAATTCACACTGATCTCACCTAACATGCCGTTTGCAGAGTCTTCCCATTAACTCATCTATAGGTGCTCCATATGTCATGCTTCTTCTTGGAAAGAAGATACTAAAGTGAAGGATTTGCATAGATGTCTTTCCTCCCTTTACCTTTTTAAAATCTCCTTTTGAATTCTATAGCAACCACTTGTTGTTGTGAAAACATATTAGATAAATCTTTGTTTTTGCAGATTTCTCTATATCCAACTCAAACTGAAAATTTCTTAATATTTTTGTCTGACGCATTGGTTTGATTTTTGCCAGTTTATTTTTTCTTTCTTTTTATTTTGTTGTTTGATTGCTTGGTTGTGCATGTTTATTGTCGGTTCCTTTTTAAAAAAAAAAATAGATTCTTGCAATGTACTTAGGCTGGCCTCGAATTTCCCTATCCTCTTTAGACAGGAACATGAGTTCAGACTCTCATGACTATGTGTGTTAAACCTGGGAGCCAACAATGGAGAAAGGTCATCCATTGTACTGCCCTGCCCGAAGGTATAAGCCCCAGCCAACAAACAGAAAAACCAGCCACCTACAACAGCCAAAGAAAGGCCCATGACTTTCTGGAAAAGCTTCCCTTCTATTTTGTAAAGAGCCCTAGGACTGGGTGAAAGGTTCAGGCATTATGCTGGCCTGCCTCTGTTACCTGTCAGAATCCACTCAAGCAGTACCGGGTAAGCCCAGGGTTCCATGAGAACTGTCTGCACACAGGTGCAAAGGACCCCTGCCCATTTTCGCTCTCTCTCTCTCTCTGCTCTTCTCTTTTCCTACCTATGCTCTCTCTCTATGGTGACTGGCCATGGCAATCAGCCATTAGCTCTGTTTCTCTTCTTTCTTAGTCTCTCTATTCTGCTGGGCCTATAATATACTGGTTAATATGTCTAATAGTCTCATGTCTCATCTTGTGCTCTTCATCTCTAATTTAAACAAAAGAATAACACTGGGAGGCACAAGATGGCTCTTAAGATATATGCTTCCTAGAGTCTACTCCTATCCTTTAGAGTGGATACTGTGTTTTTTTTTTTTTTATCTACGTTTTCCACTATTACTACTACTACTGCAAAAGAACATTCATTCATTCATTCATTCATTCATTCATTCATGTGTAGCAGTGGTACATGCCACACCACGTATATGGAGGTAACAGACAACTTTGTAGATCAATTATTTCCTTCCACTGTGTGCAGATTCAAATGCTCTTACTTGGATTGTCATGTTTGCAAGGCATGCACCATTCCTGGCTAAACTGTCTCACCAGCCCTACTCCATGTCTTGTTCTATTCTTTATTCACAAGCCACAGAACCTGAATATTGAAGGGACACTAGCCACCTAAACATGTGGCTCTGGCAGGCCTTACTCTTCTCTCCCATTTCCTCTGCCTTGCTAAAAATCCATTAGGTTACATTCCTAAAGCTAGCCACCAAGATTTATTCCTTTGTTTGGTCATATCCACCTGAGGATGACTATTGAAGTCCAATAATCAAAAAACCCCTTTGGCTCACCTAATTAACATGTCCAATTAAAATTAAACACCTCATCCTAACACAGGGTTTCCCCTTTTACCTTTCTTTGTAAATGGCCATTTGCTTATGGGCCACATCTGTCTCCCCTCTATCCAGAGACAGTCCTTTGTTCCTCCAGGACAAATATCCCTCCCCCTTTACCTTACCCCTTCCTCTCCTCCCCCATGCCCTAGCTCCTTTACCACAGCATCCTAACCCATTCTAACACAGACATCTCTTTTTCTCTTCTTAAGAATGACACCGGCAAGGTCATTTGCTGCTGTTTTCTGTCTGAGTGACAAAGCAGCCAGTTTAACCTTCTTCCCTGCTTAATGAAGAATCTCTCTGAGAAAACAGGTGTTTGGGTGTGGTTTGTGCCTACCCTTGGGGCCAGGAGGAAGCCCCACTGTTTGGGAGTCCCTATCAGATATCACATCACAGAACACGCTCAAGACCTTTTCCAGTAACATTCCTGCCTTACCCTTCTGGGCGCTAGGAATGCAGACATGCCTGGTTTGCATCCATCCAGTTTATGTCAGTTGTCTTCCCTTTTAGATATGGACTGCTCTTCAGTGGGGGAGATGGTAGATTTACCATTTTGGCACCATCTACAGTTCCTCAAACAGTGCCTCGAAAAATGGAAGATATTTAATATTTAATTTAATTTTTACCCAATTATATTTTGTTATATCCTGCTATGCCTAAAATAATCCTGCCCAAACATACTTTTTACATTCTCTTTTAAAACATTATAGTATAATAATACCGCAGGGTCTGATGCAACTGATCTGTCATTCTTAGTGGGGATACTTTCTGAGGTTTACCCAAGTACTATCAATTAATATATACTAATTCAATCCTCACAGGGACCCTTTTGGATAATTCTAAGAATCAAAACTGGAGTCCAGATTTTTCAGCAAGTGTTTACCACTGGTTTACATCCCTAGCCCTTAATTATTTCCCTCCTTTGACTTTTGTAAATACTTTCTACTTAATAGTATGTCAAGAAATGTCTACAAAGCCATAACAGAGAGAGGCAATAGTCATGCAGCTAATTAGTAAAGCTGATTGAGCACATCAAAAAGAACAATGGAGCTTTAGACAGTCACAAAGCTATGAGGTTCTGCATAATAGCTGTGTATTTGCACTACTGAGAAGAATGGGCTGTGAAGGAGTTACATAATTTCTTTCCTCTCTCTGCTTCCAAATATACACCATATAGATTTCTACCATAAGAACTAAGTTTTGTCTATATTTAGAGATCCACACGAGATTATATTTCAAAATAAAGAAGATGTCTTCCTAATTTTTAAAGTATAGAAACAATTACAGTACAGCAATGTTTAACTGATAGGCACAGATGAAAAAGATATTTAAAATTCACAAGGTGAATTCTCATGATGCAAATCAGCTAAAAACTCAACTCATTGTTTTATGAGGGATTTTGGAGATCTAGTCACTATGGACAGATATCGGAAGATGATTCAATATGTGACACATCCTATCCCGTAAGATTATACAGTGGTCTTTGACAAATAAGGCCTGTCTGAAGATCAGAGGGTGGAACTCGCCATTAGCTAACCAGAGAGGTCTGGAAGTCTGTACAGACAGACAGGAAGTGAGATGGCTGGGCACAGACAGGAAGTGAGATGGCTGGGCACAGACAGGAAGTGAGATGGCTAGGAGGAGAGAGGATATAAGTGGGAAAAAACAGGAACTTGCTCTTTTGTCTGTTGAGACACCAAGGAGGTAAAAGGTGGCTTTGGCTTGCTCTTTCTTCTCTTTGATCTGTCAGCATTTTCCTCTATATCTGACTCTGGATTTTTATTATTTAGACCAATTAAGAACTCCTTCTACAAAAATGATGTGGGATAATGTTCTTGTTCACTGTATAGATTTGTCACTCATATTGGTTTAATAAAATGCTAATTGGCCAGTAGCCAGGCAGGAAATATAGGCAGGGCTACCAGACTAGGTGAATTCTGGGAAGAGGAAAGGCAAAGACATAAGTTGCCATCCAGATGAAGAGGAAGCAAGATGAGAATGCTGTTCAGAGAAAAGGTACCAAGCCACATGGCTAAACATAGGTAAGAATTATGGGTTAATTTAAGTTGTATGAGTTTGTTAGTAATAAGCCTGAGCAATAGGCCAGTCAGTTTCTAATATAAGCCTCTGTGTGTTTATTTGGGACTGAACAGCTGCAGGACAGGCCAGGACAGAAACTTCTGTCTACAAGTCTTCTAATATCAGACAAAGCATTGGCCTGATTTAGAGACAGAAAATGGATGCCAAGATGATATAAAATATTGACCAGAACAGCACTTCTAGTAAATATGAGAAATGTCAATGTACTTATAGCAGTCATATCTGGAAAATAGGATCACTAATGATTTGCTTCTTTGAACTTATCCATATATTCTCAATTTTCTTAATAAAAATTCATTGACTAGAAGTTAGTTTTCTTTTTTTAAAGAAGTTAGAAAACATGCAAAAGGTATTTAAAACCAAACTAGTTTAGTGTTTCTCATATCAGATTTACTGGCACTTGAGAGTAGAGATTGCTCAAGGGTGTATCTTACAGAACAGTCTGTGTGGACTTGAGAAGCATGTGCACTCAGCTGTTGTTATGTGAAGACTTTCCCACGGTTCTGTTGGCCCCTTTCCTGTAGCATGGGTTCAGATGCAGTTTTTTTCCTCTCTTGCTTTTCTGACTAAATTTCTATCCAGTAAAAGTTGTACATCACAGTTCTAGGAAGTTTTGCCTAAGTTCTCTCTTTAGTTCTGTTATTTAATACACATTTTCAGAATTCTGAGAAAGTTACCTAAGATTTTCTGCTTGTGCTTATGGCCCAATGTTTCTGGGGGCCTTGCGATGCTATTTCACTGTTTGGAAATGGCACCTAGGGTGACTTTCTGACACTTGGCTAGACCAGGAGGCATAAACCTGCTCGAATATCCCAGGCTAGCTGCTGACTTTCTCTGTAACCAAGGATGACCTTTGAATTTCTAATCTTCCTGCCTCCACCTCCTAAGATCTGCAAATTACAAGTCTGTCCCTCCCCCTGACTTTATGCAAGTTTTAAGGACTCTCTTCAATAGTTTCCTGTCTAGAGTGTTTATTTCTTTTGGGGGTGGGGGTTGTCACAGAAGCCTTTAGTGTCTTTCATTCTCAATTATGAGTCTGCAGTCATCAATATCCCTGCAAAAGAAGCTTCCTTGCCTGTAACAGCCATCAGTAGCACGGATTTACAGCTGCAGCACAGACCATGAACATCCTCCGTGGCCCTGGCCACAGCATGGGTCACAAACATCAATATAGTTTCCAGCAGCAACAGGGCCCACAGACATTATCATGGTCTCTGGTGGCACTTCAGGCCACAGATGCAAGCATAGCTCCCAGCTGCACCATATACCATGGACACCAACATGGCCTCTGGAGGCAGCAAGGATCACGTGGAGATCCACATGACCTCTGGCTGGTGACAACATAGACCTTGGAAGTCTTTCAAGGAGGCCCAATCCAGAACATGAACATTCTCCATTTCAGACATCCTGCCCTTGCTCAGAGCTGGGGCAATCAGGTGCCTGGGCAGCACATTTAGGGGACAGAGCCATATGAGCTCCAGGCTACTGCACACCACCGTGTCTGCCCTATTTAGCAATGTCATGCTCCCCTGTTCACCACAGACTGGCTCCCATGCCTGTTGCCGCTGCCACTTCACCTCTACGGCCACCTCTCTCTCCCATGGGCACATTCGCCATTATCCTCACCTCAACTCACCATTACACATTTCTGCATCAGACTGACATTGCAAACTGCTGTATGTCACACAGTATATACCTTTCTTGCCCAAACAACCCTGCATGCAAATCCTTACTGCAAGGAGTCATTTGTCGGGTTGTTGCTGGTATTTGATCACACTGCATTAGGATGTCTCTGCTTTACCTCACTTGCCTATCAGAAGGCATCTTCTGATTGGTTTAATAAAGAGCTGAATGGCCAATAGCTAGGCAGGAGAGGATAGGTAGGATGTCTGGGCAGAGAGAGGAACTCTGGGAAGAATCTGAGGCACATGGGATTCACCAGTGAGACTTGGAGGAAATGGGATGTACAATATTGATAAGAGGTAATGAGCCACATGGCAGAATATTGATTAATACAAATGGGTTAACTTAGGTTTTAAAAGCTAGTTGAGAACAAGCCTAAGATAAGTCTAAGTTTTCATAATTGATAAAATTCTCCGTGTCATTTTTCAGGAGCTGGTCGTTCAAAGAAAGACCTGCTACATCTGGTTCAAGGTTTCCGGTATCTGAAGCACCAGAAACAGTGTTGCTGAGACTCTTCTAGGATATGCTGCTATTGCCCAGAGTCAGAGAGATGTTGTGCTGATCCTGTGGCTGGGCGGGGCGTCCTGCGGCAGGATCCTTGGGAGCTCCAGGCCATTACATACCTCTCCTCCCACGCACCAGCCATCCCAGCAGCTAACCTGTATGACCATCTTGGGCATCTCCACTGCCCACGCAGGGCAAACAGCACAAGCAGCAGGAGCACTGGCTCCATGCTCCAGGGCAGGCCAGCTGTCCCAAACCTCCTGGCAGATCCAGGCCCCGCCCTAGCAAAGACCTGTCCCCAGAGCTGCTCTCCCATACTGAGCCCATACCTTTCTTTTCCAGCTCCACTCTGCCGTCTTTTGTCCCACAAGACCTGCCCGCCCCTTTCCTTCGAGAGATACTGAGTGCTCTGCAGACTCCTCCTCTGACCCCTCATCTCCATCTGTGTCTCTCAGGCTTCTCAGAGCTGCCATGCAGTCCCGAGGGTGCTGGCAGCCCCCACCATCCTGAAGGCTTATCAAGACTTACATAGCCTTCAACAGCCTTCCCTGTTCAGGATCCATTCGTACTGATGTTTGTGACTTAATGGAATCCCTTCATGTCTCAAAAGGTAAAGTTTTCAGAGACTGAAACAATTAGAATGGGAAAGCTTGCGAGTCGTGGGGTCTTGGGAGGTAGAGGACAGTAAGATCTTCTTCCCCTCCCCATCCCCATGCTCCAATTTAGATCTCCCTACATAGTTAGAAACACGAGAGCAGGAGGCTGAGGTGGCATGGCTGGACCTCAGGAAAGCATCTACATGTTTGGGGATCTGATTGAAGACGCTAAGGTGCTGCTGCAGTTACCACCTGTGCCAGTTCCGAAAATGCCTCTCTTTTACTGTCTAAAAGAGTTAGTGGACCAGAGGAGTTTAAGTTCTCTTGGCCTGGATTAAGAAGGAGCTAGTAAACCTTGACCCAAGCACACAGAATGGAGTTAAGAGTGTATAGACTGCTAGGTTTCCAGGAGGATTTCGTGTGAAAAAAATACTCATATATTAGAGTGTGGTGACTCATGCCCGCAATCCCAACAACAGAGGTAGCTAAAGTATGGGTTGCTGTGGGTTTGAGGCAAGCCTGGCTAGTGAGTTCTATGCTAGTGTAAGTCACAAAGTGAGATCTTGTCTCCACTGCCTTTAACAATCTGCACATTTAGGGTAGTCTTGGAATTCAGAAGAAAAACAACAGACTTCCTTCTTATACAGTGTGGATGGGTGGGCAGGCAGGACTGTGTTCACCTAAGTTGGAGCACTGCATCTCTGTTTTTAAGGTTGGAAAGATGTTTCTTGGCCTTAAAAAAACATGAGAGACAGACAATGACACACAGAAAATGGACACTAAATGAATTATAAACTCATAATTTATAGTTTATAAATTATAAACTCATAATATATAATTATAAAAAATAATATAGGTTTCTGATTTAACAATGAGCAGAGCCATAAATTGCTTCAGCAGCCTTCAGCTTGTCTGTGCTTTACCATTACCAGGTAAACAGTAGTTATTGTAACAACTTTCTTTTCAGAAGTGACTCTTCCCTCGGGATAAAGGGTCCGCCCTAGAAGACTAATTAGGTTCAATTGCTGTGATGAAGACCATGACCAAAAGCAACTTGGACAGGGAAAAATGTGTTTGCCTTTCATATACTGGGCCATTGAGAGAAACCAAGACAAAAGCCTAGAGACAGGAACTGAAGGAGAAGCTGCTTAATGGCTAACTCCCCATGGCTTGTTCAGACTGTTTTCTTGGATCACCCAGGGCAACCTGCTCAAGGATGGTGTCATCTACAGTAAGCTGGACCTTCCCACATCAGTCATCAGTCAAGAAAATGCCTCCATAGACATACACCGGGCCTGTGCATATTGTCATAACCATGACAGCTGTCCTGTTGTGTCAGGAGAACATAGTTCCTTTGTATTTACTTATTGACTACCTCTTACTCTCCCAGACTTCCCTCCCCCTCTTCAGCAATGATCCATGCACCTTGGGAAGAGAGGGTACAGCATGGATGTTTCATTTAGGGGTGAACATTCCACAGGCCCTAGTTCTCTGCACTTTGGCCAGTATGTTGGTCTCTGACTGCTGTAAATTTTTCTGAAGAGGGTTGAGAGATACATTAATCTGTGTCTCCTGTCATGTGGGCAGTAGAGCTGTTTGTTTCTGAGACAAGGTTAGAGAGGTGAAATGGTACCAAATAGATGACATTTGAACAATAATCAAAAAGAAGGAAGGGAATGAACTATTCTCAGCCTGCTCTGTATGATTCCAGTTAGTGGGTTATGTTAGTAAGAAGAGTCATGGGCTCGTGACAATTGTGAAACTATCCTAGTGTTACACTGAGTGAGGTTCTAGGTTCTGTAAAATATGAATATCTTGACTAATACTGTCTATGCAGGGCCAGGGATGTAGATGTATGTAATAGAACAAGTTTGTAAAACAAGTCATTTCATTTATTTTCCTTTATGAATTTTATTTTATGTGATGGGACAGAACAAATTCCAGCCTGGAAAGGGAGGTGAGCTTTAAGGCCCATCTGCAGCCCAGGAGCTCAGGGCAACTGATAGCCACAGGAAGGAGGGAAGTCACCCTTCTTTCAGAGTGTTACCACTGGTATGTCACCTGCACTCCAGTGGAAGGCCACATATCCAAGAATATATGGATGATGCAAATTGGACTCTGTGTGTTCTTTTTGTTTTGTTTTTAAGAGGACACAAAGTTGGGTAGGTAGGGAAGAGGAGTTGGTTCTGGGAAAAGTTGGGCAGGGGTTTTATATGGTCAAAAGTAATTGTACAACTATTTCAAAGAACTAATAAAATTTGAAAGAAAGAATTTTCAGCCCACAAGGGGGAAAATCTAACAAAGAGGTTAAAAAAAGGTCTAGATTTAATGGGACTGATTGATGCACATATGAACTTACAGACTGTGGCATACAAAAGAACTCATAGGTTCAAGTCAGAGGGATCCCAGCTGAGATCCCAACTGAGAGGACCTGGCATGGTGTCCTACCCATAACCAAGAGGACAATTTATAGCCGCTGGGGAAAGGAAATCAGTTTTCTCCAATGGAGTCTTACAGCTTATATCAAACATACACCAAGGCAGACCTCATGTCCAGGAGTAGCTGGCCAACACAAAGTAAACTCCATGGACTTTGCGGGGGGTGGGTAATTTTTATTTTGTTTTCACATGAAAAACATTTTATTGGTCTTTTGCTTGTTTTCATTTTTGGTTCTGTGGTTTTGCAGGGATGGGAGGATGGTTTTGTTTTTATTTTTTTCAAAGAGAAAGTTGGGTGGGTAGGGAGGTAGGAGGATCTGGGAGGAGTGAAGTTGAGAGAGTATAAAAATAGGATCAAAATATATGTGTGATCAAAATATATGTCTATGTGTGAGTCTGTGTGTCTGTGTGTGTGTTTGTATGTGTGTCTCTGTGAGTGTGATGTGTGTGTGTGTGTGTTTGTGTGTGTGTGTCTGTGTGTGTGTGTGTGTGTGTGTGTGTGTGTGTGTGTGTGTGTGTGTGTGTGTGTGTGAAAAATTAACTAAAATAAGCAGAACGAAAGAGGCAAAAGCTATGCTCTGGAGCAGACAGGACAAACATTCATCTGGACTGGAGTGTGGGGCTGTGCTCACTCATTCCTTCTGCTCTAATCATTTGATAGAGAGGAAAAGCACCGTGTCATTGTGCCCTTGGACAGAAAACACTACTGCTACATTATCTAGACATGAAGCCAAGGGATGGCGTCAATCATGTGCTCCTACGTAAACAATTGTTTCCTAATTTAACCCTCAGGGAATTAGCATGCAAGGGGTCTCACATGTGTGCAAGCACATGCGTGTTTGTGTGTGTTTGAATGTGTGTCTCTGTGTGTGTATCCAGATGTGTGTGTGTGTGCTTTGTATGTGTGTCAGTGTGTGTATGTGTGAATGTGTGTCTACGTGTGAGTCTGTGTGTCTGTGTGTGTGTTTGTATGTGTGTCTCTGTGTGTGTGAGTGTGTGTGTGTGTGTGTGTGTGTGTGTGTGTGTATGTGTGTGTGTGAGTCTGTGTGTATCCGAGTGTGTGTATCTTTGTGTAAGTCTGTGTGTGTGTGTGTGTGTGTGTGT